TTCAGTCAAGACCTGACATTTCCCCCCTCAGATGTGAACATCCATTGCTTGCTTTGACTTGCAAAACTTTTCCTGCTGCTGCTCTTGATCTTCGGGCAAACCCCAGAATTTGTGTGTTCCCCTGCCCACAAAGGGCTGCAGTCAGCACAGTACCAGAATTAAAACAGGTGAATGTTTTAGCAGGTGTGAGACAGAGCCAGGATGGAACTGCTGCTCCCCACACTGTCCCCAGGCCAGCACTGCCAGGGTGCACCAGTGCCACTGCTTGAAGCAAAAACATTGACCAGAACTGGAAAACACCAAATACATCTCAAAACTGTCCAATAAAGCCCCCTCCAGGCAGAGACAGATTTTCCCAAAGGTGATTTGTTTGATTTTTCAGGTGGCAAACAAGATCCCAGCTGTGAGCTGGTTTTTTTCCTGCTGGTTCCCAGCTTTCCCAGGGCTGTGTAAGAGCCTCAGGGATCAATCTGAGGCATTGAGTGATGTCAGAGAGCCAAGCAGGACAATGTTTGCCTTGTAACTCTGTGCTGCAGGGACCTGAGCTGCTGTGGGAAGAAACAGCTCCTGTCCAGGGAAGCCGTGGCTGCCCCTGGATCCCTGGAAGTGCCCAAGGCCAGGCTGGATGGGGCTTGGAGAAGCCTGGGACAGTGGGAGGTGTCCCTGCCCATGGTGAGGGCAGAGGTGGATGAGCTTTAGGGGTCATTTCAACACAAACCACCCTGGGATTCTGTGATCCTGGTTTCAAAGAGCTTCATTGGAATTCCTGGGAGCTCTCAAGGAGTGTTGCTGCCATGGCTCTGGAGGAATTTGGGAAGAGCAGGAGCCACCATGACCAGCAGCATCCTCTGTGCAACACTCATGGCTGTGGAGCTCCTCATGGATATCCCGGTGTGCTGGGAGTTCCTCATGGATATCCCGGTGTGCTGGAGGCTCCAGTGAGGAAAATGTAAAATCATTCTAACAATTTTGTCAGGGCAAGTGGCACAGAGGGGCTCAGGATTCCTGTAGCTGGTCCCCATTTATGTGGGAGATCCCTCAGGAGGGGCAGGAGAGCTGCAATGCAGGAAGTGCTCTATGGGCCAAGATGTGCCCTTGGTGACAGCCCAGAGCTCTCCAGCACGGGGCTGGAGCTGTCCTGGTGTGGGGAGGGGGAAAAGGAGCTCTTCAAATGCATCTGCTTCCAGCTGCTGAGTTCAGGGCCAGAAAACACTCCCAGAGCAGCACATCCCAGAAATCTCCCTGCATTTCCCATGAAAAGCTGCAGCACTGAGCTGGGGCAGTCACAGGGGCTGTCCCACCCTGGAGCTGAGCACTTTCCTCACACAAATGTCAGCATCACCCAGGGCTGAGCAGATTCCTGTCCACCTCCAGGACCCCCAGAGCTCCCAGGGCTCAGGACAGACAGCAGCAGGTTATGGGATTGCAGAAGAAAGAGCAAGGGGCGACCCCAGCAGATTGTTCCCCAGGATTTGGGTCCCCTCCTGGCCCTTTGTTTCTCTTTTACCATGAAACTGTAAAAGGCCAGGTGAGCACACCCCAAGGGCCACGGCCTGCACACACAGCAGAGGACAGACAAACACCTTCCAAGGATGCCCCGAGCAGGGCATCACCCCCAGGCGTTCTGGAGCCCTGTTCCAAGGAAGAGCAGCTCACCAGGGTTCCTTTGGTAAATCCCAGCAGGTTTGAGCAGCCCATGGCACAGTGAGGCCGGTCCTGAGTGCCCTGAGCACTGCAGCCTCCAGGGAGGGAGGAAGAAATGTCCCAGAACCTTTTGAGCTCCCTGGCAGGAAACCTGCCCTAAAAGCTGCTTTTCATGTGTCCAGGAACTGTTCTGACCTGGCCAAACCCTGCTATTTCCAAACTCTTGGGTCTCATCTGTGCACCAGCTGCCTTCCCAACCAAATGGAACATGAGCTTCTGGCCAGGGGGGATGAAGATGGGTGTGGGCACACTGAGGAGCAGGAGGACAGAGTCACCTCTCCAGGGATGGAAGGATTCACCCACGAGCAGAAGGAGGAGCTGCACAGGATCTTTCACTGCCAGGGCTCCAAGAGCTCACCCCAGAGCACGGGAAGCACAGGGTCAGCTCACAGCTGGATCCTCGGCCCTGCTGGGCCTGGCACCATCAGGGGGAGCAAAGGGAGGCCCTGGCCCGACAGAGAGTGAAGGGATTAAGCAGAGGAAGAGCAAAGGGAATTTCTGTGTGTTTGCCACAGGCACTCCTGCTCCTCGTGCCCTGCTCTGCTCTCCCACAGACACAAAGCCCCGTGTGCCCCTCGTGCCCTCGGGAGCCGGAGCAGGGTGGGCTCAGGCAGCCAGGAGTGACAGAGAGCAAGAGAGGGAAATGTGGGTCTGTCAGTCCTGCAGGAGCCAGCCTTGGAGTTGTGTTTGTGCCCTAAAATTGTGCTTGTCCTCCATCCCTCAAATTCACCCTGTGACGCTTCCTCTCCTTATGTGCTTCGTCCCCACCCTCGTGATTTAGGTTTTGTGACTTAGATTTTGAGCTCTTGTGATTTGGATTTAACTCCTGTGAATTAGATTTAATTCTGGTGGAGATTTTAGATTTAACATATTGTGTAAGACACAAGATTTGCCCCTGGGACCCCAGATCTGGATTTCAAAGAGGTTTTGTTTCATTTTCACATCTCAGCCACTCTGTAGGGAACCCATTGGCCCGTGGGACCCCTCAGCCACAGCTCCTGATTTCTGTGTCTTCCCAGCACTCCTGGGGAGATGTGGATGATGGGACAAGAGGAATGAAGGTTTTATAACTAAGTTGCAGTGGGGAAATCACAGGTTCACTGACACAAGAACAAAAATGAAAAAATTAAAAAATGAAAAAATGAAAAAATGAAAAAATGAAAAAATGAAAAAATGAAAATGAAAATGAAAATGAAAATGAAAATGAAAATGAAAATGAAAATGAATATGAGGTGATGACTGGAAAGAAGGTGCTGCCTGTTCAGTGCATCACTGGGGCAGAGTCTGTTCCTTGGAGCTTGCCACTCGTCCCAGCAGTGCTGAGGCCCCATCCCATGGGATGGGAGGGAGCTGGGAGCTCAGAGCAGCTCTGGGAGCCAGACCCAGTGCACTGCCCTTTGTGCTGCTGCCTCCCAGCCACATCTGGCTGCCTCTGTGTGTCCCATCCAAGGGTGGGAGATGTGGAGCCCAAAGATTGCCTGAAGGCTCAGGCAGGTGCCCCAGGGGACAGAGAGGCAGAAACAGGGAGCAGGAGCTGTGGCAGAAGACAGCTGGGGCAGGAGTGGGAGCCAGTGCCTCCAGCAGACACATTTCTCCTAAGGAGGTACCCTGGCATTCCCTTTGCATCCTTAAAATCATTCATGTGTAATTAAATCAACAACTGATGCCAGCTCAGCATCCAGCCTGAGCCTCCAGGCTGGAAGAGCAGCCCTGGGTAAGGACAGTCCCCCAGTGATGGCATCTCTGTCCTTGGAGGAGTCCAAATTGTGGAAGGATGAGGCCCTGAGAAAGCAAATGTAACCTGGAAAGTGACCCTGCTCTGAGCCCTCCTGAGGGCTCTCCCAGCCTGGATTAACCAAGGACTACAAATGATGGTTTTATTCCCACACAGTCTCCAGGTGCTTGAGGGAGCAGTGGGAGATGTGGTCAGTGCCACAGGTTGGAATGTGCTTCAGTGGACAGGAATGGGATGAACTCCAACCAAGGGACCTGGGGAAAAACTCCCTGGGAAGAAACAGCCCCGTGCACCTGCAGAGGCTGGGGCCAGCAGCCAGAGAGTGCAGAGCAGGACCTGGGTGTGCTGCTGGACCAAACCCTGACTGTGGAGCAGCCATGGGACACTGCAGCACAGAGAGCCACCAGGGCTGCCCGAGGGACAGCAGGGAGAGGGAGGAGATCCTGCCCTGCTGCTCAGCACTGCTGGGGCCTCACCTCTGCTCTTGCACGTGGACTCCCGGTACAAGAGAAACAATCAAAGGATCAGAGAATCTCCTGATTTGAATCCCAACAAGGATCATCCAGGCCAGCTCCTGGCCCCGCTCAGGACACCCCAACAATCCCACCACGGGCTGAGAACACACAGAGTCAAAACTCTTCTTTATTTGCCCAGTGGTACCTGCACAGTGAGGTCTCTACCCTGAGTTCATGGTGGTCACTCTGGCACAGAGCTGCTGCTCACTCACTTCTGAGCCCCCCTTCTGCAGAGACACCTCAGGCTGGGCTGGAGCCTCGGGCTGCCCCTGTTCCTGTGCAATACTGGGTGGCTCAGTGCTTCTTTAGGCACTGTGTGCCACCCTTCAGTGACAATTTCTGGCCAAATAAGCAATTTGACCACTATTCCCACCATTTGATGCTGGGCCACTGGCAGCTCCTTGGAGCAGTAGAAAGGATTCATTCAGATGTGTCTTGCACCTTCCCCAGCTCACAGCTGCTCCTTGAGCCTGGTGTCCATCCAGGTGGAACTGCTCAGTCTCTGCCAGGGGCACCTGCACAGGTCCAGCCAGCCTGGAACAGTGGCACTGACACATCTGACCCCAGAGCAGCCCCTGTCCAGGAATGCTGATCCCTCTGCTGATGAACCTGGCATTGGACAGGGCACTCTGCACTTTGGCCACAGCTGAGAAGCTCTCATGTCAGTCCTGACAGCTGAGAGATCCCAGGGTATTCCCCAGGCTCCAGGTGTTGCTGCCCTGGGTCCAGTCCCTGGCAGGTCCTGTCAGATCCTGCAGCCCCTGGGGGAGCTCCCAGGTGCTTTGGAGTAGTTGGAATGGCTCCACGCAGAGCTGAGTGCCCACAAAGGCCCAGGCTGTCCCCAGCCCTTTCACCCCAGCAGTTCTGCTCTCTGAGGAAATCCCTGGCTTGCAGAACCTTGTCCCCCTGAGCTCTTGGCTCATCAAGCTCCCCCTGGGGATGGTGGGAGCAGGGTTGGGGTCATTAGTGGCAGCAGGACGGGGCATGGCCAGGCATGAGGCTGTTCCCCAGCCCTGACACTGTCCCCTGTCCCCTGTCCCCTGCAGGTCCCTCGCCCTGGGCCAGCAGTACAGCTCCCTGGGGTCCCAGCCCATCCTCTGCGGCTCCATCCCCGGCCTCGTCCCGAAGCAGCTCCGCTTCTGCCGCAACTACATCGAGATCATGCCCAGCGTGGCCGAGGGGGTGAAGTTGGGCATCCAGGAGTGCCAGCACCAGTTCCGGGGCCGCCGCTGGAACTGCACCACCATCGATGACAGCCTGGCCATCTTCGGGCCCGTCCTGGACAAAGGTGACCCCTGGGGGCTTGGGGGCAGCTGGGCTGGGGGCAGAGCTGGCACAGCTCCACTGGCTTTGGATTGTCCTGCTGGGAACACATCAGGGAAAGGGTCTGATGTGCCAGCTCTCAACCCTGATTTCTCCAGTTTATTTCTTTCCCAAGTTTTTGGCGTGTTCCATCACAAGGGAAATGAGGGAAAGGTCTGCTCCCATCCCAGGAGCTCAGAAGGGCCAGGGAGGATATAAAGTACAGGAAAGGGAAGGTTCCCAAGCACTCTCACATGTTCTGGAATCATGGGCTCCACCTCCCTGCCCAGGGCATGCAGCATTTCCAAACTGGGTCCAGCAGACCCACGGGAAAAGCCAAGGACAGGGGATGTGGTTGAGTTCCTTGGGATCAAGGCAGAGCCACTGAAGCACAAACTGCCCACCCCAGCAGATCTCTGGGCTCAGGTTTCCCCACCAGTGAGGAACCATGGTTGAAATCCATGGTGCTGATCAGGCTCAGTTCAATGAAGATTTTTTTCAATGGGATTTCAATGAAACTTCTCACAAATAAGCCCAAAAAGCAGAGAACAAGGAGAGGTTATAAATTCATTTTCCCTCTCCTCTCCCCAAACTCTTTTCCATCCCCTGCTCCTGAAATGCCACCTTTCTAGATCTGCTGGCACGGATCAGGCACACTGGAGCACTGATGAGGCACCATAAAATTGGGATTCCCAGTGAGATTATGGGGCATTACACTGGAAGAAGTGAGAAAGGACCCCAAAAACAGCCTGGAAGGAGGTGCTGGAGGGGAAAATCATAGGATCACAAAATTCCCTGAGTTTGAAGAGATACACGGGGATCATCCAGTCCAACTCCTGCCCAGACACCTCAAAATCCCAGCCTGGACATCCCTGGAATGCTGTCCAAGCTCTCCTGGAGCTCTGGCAGCCTCAGGACCATTCCCTGGGGAGCCTGGGCAGTGCCAGCACCTCTGGGGGGAGAACCTTTCCCTGATACCCAACCTGACCCTCCCCAGCACAGCTCCATGATAATCTGTCCCACATCTCAGATGTCCCAGACCCCAGATTAAAAGGCATTCCCACAAAACTCAGTGGTGGATTAAAAACTCCCACTGAATAAAAATCTCCAGTTTCTCCATCCTGTCCCGTGCCACATTCAGCACAAGGGACATCCACAGGTAACATCTTGGTTTCACAGCTTCACAAACACAGCCAAAACCATTTCCCCCTCGTCTTCCTGGGTGTTCACAGCACTGGGTTCCTGCAAGCCAAAATCTCTTTATTGAACAGAAATTATTGTTTCCAGTGATGCTTTGGAAATGGGAATTTTATGGTACAGACTTCAAGAAACTGGAGGAATTGGGGTGAGAGCAGGACTTTGGACTGTTTCCCAACAGTCCCCTGGAGAATGCAGGACTTCTGATGAATCTTTCTGACAAAGCTCCAATATTCTGCAAAGAAACAGTTCATGGTATCTTTTTTTCAAGTTTCAGCCTCCCAGTAAAGGTAGGTATTGTTTCAGATCCCTGAAATGTCAGTCGAGTATTTCAGTGAAAATCACTCCTTTGTGTTAATGTGGGATTCTTTTCAGGAACCAGGATTGTAAAGTCTTATTAGAGCACTAATAGGCACCACGAGATTCATTTCCCCTCAGTTATGCCAGGGTGTATTTTAGGGTAACTGTTGTATTTACTACCAAATAACTTGTCAGCAGGGCTCAACACACTCTAATTTTCTGCCTAATAAAAGCCTGTCCTAAATTTCAGCACTTAAAAGATCAGAAAGTTTTAATTTTCTTTAAAAAACGGTCATTAAAAAACTATCGTAAAAATTCTAAACACATTATGAAAGAACTGTTCAAGCATTGAGACACTGAAAATCTCTCACCACCATTTCTGTCAGCGGGAAAGCACTTAAAGATTAGATTTGAACCATCCTGCCTGTAATGAGCAAACTGAACTTTGAATTTATGGAGAATATTTTAAGGTTCTTTCGGCTGCAGGGACTCGAGCAAAGCCTCATGTGTGGACTTGCCTCAGCATCTCCACAAACCCCGAGCTGACAAGGTAAAATATCACCCAGAGCTCTGAAACCCCTCTGACAGATGGAGAAAAATGAGTGAGCACGTTGGATGTTCAGCTTTCCCAATCCCACCGTGACGCATCTCCAGACAGCACTGCCAGGCTCCCAGAGCGTATTTATCCTGCTGTCTCACTAACCTGTAAGTAGAGCAGTTAAAAATAAACAGCAGCATCTGCAAAGAAGGACACATCAAAGCCCAGCCCATCTGATCGTGGGTATTATTCACATTTTTGAACTGTGCTCGTGTCTTTTCCGTGCTGCCTTCAAAATTAATGAGCGGATTCAGGATGGGTTTGGTGTCATTGTGTGGCAGTGAGGAACGCAGGGAACCTTTGAGATTCCCAGAGTCTGCAGCAGAGAAGTCACAGAGAAAACCAGAACCTTTCCAGCACATCTCTTCCTTCTGAGGGAAGAGATAAGGTTGGTGATGAACTGAGAGATGCTGTCAGCGGTGAGGCGTGAGAGACCAGCCCTGCTCATCAGCCAGGGGCTGCTGGACACTCCTGAGCCTCCAGAGAACCATGGAATAGTCTGAGCTGGAAGATCTTTTAAAGATCATCTTGTCCAACTCAGCTTCTTCCTTAGATGCAGCAACAGGAGTCACAGACTGGTTTGGGTTGGACAAAGCCCACCCATTACACCCCAGCCATGGCAGGGACACCTCCCACTGTCCCAGGCTGCTCCAGCCCCAATGTCCAGCCTGGCCTTGGGCACTGCCAGGGATCCAGGTGCAGCCCCAGCTGCTCTGGGCACCCTGTGCCAGGGCCTGCCCACCCTGCCAGGGAACAATTCCTGCCCAATATCCCATCCAGCCCTGTCCTCTGGCAGTGGGAGCCATTCCCTGGCTCCTGTCCCTCCATCCCTTGTCCCCAGTCCCTCTCCAGCTCTCCTGGAGCCCCTTTAGGTGCTCCTCAAACCAAGAGTTTTAAACCCATAATCCGGATCCTGTGGCCACCATGGCAGTCTTTGTTCCCTTTTTCCTGACTTCCAGCACACCCAGGGGTGCAGCCCCACAAACCAAAAGCAAAACCCAGACCAAGACAATCCCTGTCCCAGCTCACATGCTGCATTTGGCCAATAAAGGGTTGGGGTTTCACCTCTGACAAACACCTGGATGAAATTCCCCCTCAGTATTAACTTGGTTAATCTCAGCTTCTGCTCCCTCAAGTAGATTGAGGCTATTTTGGAAAAGCTTCAAAGGTGTAGTTCTCACTACAACAGCATCAAAAATCATTTCTAATAGAGCTTGAAAAGAAACTGAGGATAATTTCATTTTAAAAGAGCTGCAAACACGTTAACCATGGTGACCTCCATTGGAGGAGAGCTCAGTGTGCAGAGCAGCCCCTGCTGTGGCACACGTGTCCCAGCCTCCCTGGGCTGCTCCTCCTCGGGCTCTGAGCACTGCTGCCAGTGTGGGAGCCCAGGGCTGCCCTCCCTGAAATACCCAAGGGATTCCTGCCTCCAGGTCTTCCCACAGCCTCCCCTGCCATCCTCACTCCCTCCCCAGCGTCAGCCACAGCTCCAACCTCTCCTCCTGCAGCCCCTGGCAGGGCAAGGAACACCAAAGGCAGCTCAGGGAAAACCCAGGGCTCCATTTGGGAGCTGCTGAACAATAACCCTGGTGAAGCTCTGCCCTCACCCACCCGGGTTTCTCCACATTTCCCACCCCAGATTCAGACTCACAAGGTTGTGGCTGCTGTAGCTGCCCAGGCTTTGGTTTCCTGAGGCCACTGATGATCTTCCTGCAAGGAAGGACAGGCTGGGAGAGCTGGGGGTGCTCACCTGGAGAGAAGAAGGCTTCAGGGACACCTTAGAGCCCCTTCCAGGGCCTAAAAGGGCTCCAGGAGAGCTGGAGAGGGACTTGGAACAAGAATCTATCAGTGAACAAGGGGAAATGGCTTCCCAGTGCCAGGGGGCAGGGATAGATGGGATACTGGGAAGGAAAATTTCCCTGTGAGGATGAGGAGGCCCTGGCACAGGGTGCCCAGAGCAGCTGGGGCTGCCCCTGGATCCCTGGCAGTGCCCAAGGCCAGGCTGGACATTGGGGCTGGAGCAGCCTGGGACAGTGGGAGGTGTCCCTGCCATGGCAGGGGTGGAATGGAATGGGCTCCAACCCAAACTGTTCTGTAGGTCTATGATTCTATGGGGTTTTTCTTTTCCCATGTGTTATTGTCTAACCTAGGCCATGAAAAAAAACAAAAAAAACCCACAAAAAACAACCCCTGAATGTGGGGTAAGATCATGTTTTTACAAGCAGATTCCCCAAGATGATTTATACTGCAGGTGTGCAGTCTGGGATAAGGAGGGAGGAAAAACCTGCTTTCCACCTCCCTCCTTTCCCTTTTCTTTGTAAAATAAGGTCAGTTCTTATCTAAAGCCAATGGCTCTTCCAGCCAAGTCCTGCCCAAAGCCAGGGCTGAGCCAGCAGCCACACGCTGCTCTGGGGGGAAGCAATCACCATTCCCTGGGTTAGTGATGAAATCCATGATTTCAGTTCAGGTCGGCCCCAGACAGAGCCGGCCCTGGGTGCCCGGGGCAGGGAGGTCCCACGGGCACCTGGAGAGCGATTCCTGGGCTGGGGAAGAGGTGTCGGAGCCGCAGCCAGGGCTGGATCTGCCGGAGCTTGGCAGGAGCTCCCCCCTCTCCCCACCCCGTGTGCTCCTGTCCCCCCAGCCCGGGCTGCCCTCGCTCCTCTCCGGCTCCAGGGAGGCTCTGCCGGAGATTCTCCGGGACGATGCTCCCCGGGCCGGGCAGCGCATCCCGGGGCAGGTGCAGGGGAGGCAGCTGGGCCCGGGCTGCCTTCGGGGTCCCCGTGAGCTCGGCTAAGCCCCTGACACGAGCTGTGAAAAGGCAGACCCGCACCACGATAACCCATGGCTTTTCTCAGCCATGACACTCGCAGTCATTTGCATCTAAACAGGGGTGTGTGGGATCAGGGGCCGGCTTGATATAAACTCAGCAGCTTAAAGGGAGGGGGAGGGAAAGGAGAGAGGGAGAGAGAAAAATAAGCTTATACCGATGAGAAAGAGCTAAGCTTCCTCCCCTACTGTGAGGCAGGGCGAGCGATACCATCGCAGCGCCGCAGTCGTTTCAAATCGCTGCCGCATTCACACGCCCTTTAGCCATTCTGGGGGGCTGGGGAGCGCCATCAATAGGGATTTCCCAGCCTGGCTGGCGGGATTGGAGGGTGACGGCAGGACAGGGGAACATTGCCCCGTTGCTACGAGGTGCTCCTGGGGAATGCCAGTGCTCTGTGCCGTGGGTACGCTGGCCGGCGGAAACATTCCGCATTATGCTGGTAATACAGTGTGACACCGAGGGAACAATGGCAAATTGAGTGTCCCAGCAGGTAACGGGCCCGGCTGGGAGACAGTCGCAGTGGTGCACTGTCAAGGCGGCTCTAATCCTCCCTCGCCAGCCCCTCCCCTGGTTCTGGGAACGCCGCTCCCGCATTTCATCTCTGGGAAATTCTCCCAGCTCCGCGCCCAGACCCAGGCGAGAATTTCAAGGCGAGGGGTTTGTTCGCAGCTCGCTCCCCCCCGGCCGGCACCGTGCGGGGGACACGGGGGACACGGGGGGACACGGGGGGACACGGGGGACACGGGGGACACGGGGGACACGGGGGACACGGGGGGACACGGGTGGGACACG